AAGAGTGACGTAGTGGTTTTCCCCGGACCATTTCCGCCTGCAGATGCGGAGCTGATCAGTATAAACGGAGGAGACACTTATAACAGGACTCAGACTTTACCTAACAAAGAGAAGGTAAGGGTGGATGCACATTAAACATAGGGAATCCAATGAACTACTGTTAAACTTTTTTCACATGAATGTAATTTTATAGCTAGCCACTTAAGGACTGGATCCAAGTACTCAAAATGCTTTTTTTTTGCAGTTGTGTATAATCCAACACCTCTCATAATACCAATCTAGGGATACTCAGCTGTGAAAGTATTGAAATATTTGCAAAGCAAATGCTAAATACTGCATTTGTTTCTTTGTTACTTTTTGGTCTATTAGCAGTTGTTTGCAGCGTGCAACACATCTTTTATTTTTAACTTTTTTGCTCATTCTTCTTTAAATGTGTCTACACTCATGCTAGAACTCTGGGTGATGGTGTTTGTTGATTTTCAGTTGCTGTCCAGTCAGTGTGGACTTTATAAAACTTTCTGTCCTCTCTGTCCCTTTCCCTTCAATCTCACCACAAGATGTCGCTATCATACCAGAGAGTTGAAGCACGTTTTTTTTATTCTGACCAACACTCCTCCCTTTTCGTCTAAGAGAGGTGGTTCGTAATTCTTTGTTTGTCGTGGCAGTACAGGATATATTCACTGCGTTGAAAGACTGATGTGGCTGTATCATTAGTGAGAAATGTTAACACAGGAGGGTTTTTTTCCGAATAAATTCGTCTAGCAGGCAATGGACAGGATGAAACGACAGGATATTTTCCGGCACTGGATTTATTTTATATTCTACGCATCTCATATATGGAGTCTCGCCGCAGCACAGGTCGTGTATTCGGTTACGGAGGAATCGAGCCCGGGTACCACTGTGGGACATTTGGCGAAGGATTTACATTTAGACGTACAGGAACTGGAGGGCAGAGGTTTTCAGATTTCCGGACCTAATACGAGGTATTTCGAAGTAAACGTTAAGACTGGAATACTTCTGGTGAAAGACAGAATAGACCGAGAGGAGCTCTGCTCGCGTAATGTGAAATGCTCCCTGGAAGTGGAAGCCATTGTTAACTCTCCGCTCAATCTCTATCGCTTCGAGGTTAAAATTTTGGATATAAACGACAATGCACCATCTTTTCGGATTCCGGGGATTGTTTTGAATGTGTCTGAGTCAGCTTTCCCTGGTGAAAGGTTCACGCTGCCAAACGCCTTCGATGCAGATGTCGGGAGTTATTCTGTAAAGGGCTACAAGCTGAGCCAAAATGAACATTTCACCCTGGATGTGCAGAATAGTGGGGAGCAGGCAATGTCCGCTGAAATGGTGCTACAGAAAGCCTTAGACCGCGAGAAACAGGCGGTTATAAAACTAACACTGACAGCCGTAGATGGAGGAAAACCTCTGAAATCTGGCACGTTACATATCACTGTTAATGTACAAGATGTAAATGATAATGTTCCCATTTTTGATAAGCCGTTGTACAAAGCCACAGTGGCAGAAAACACGCAGCAAGGTGCAGCCGTCATTTCTGTACACGCTCGGGATTTAGACGAGGGTCTCAACGGAGAAATTATATATTCTTTTATCAACCACGACAATGACAACAACGTCAATAACTTTCAAATTAATGCAGTAACTGGAGAGATTACGGTGAATGGTGAGTTGGATCATGAAAAAAGTAAAGCAGTTGAAATCCGAGTCCAAGCGAAAGACAAAGCGCAATACCCAAGAGCATCTCACTGTAAAGTACTCGTTGAAATCACGGATGTAAATGATAATCCACCAGAAATATCAGTCACGTCTTTAGTCGACGTAGTGAAGGAAGACGCGGCCCCGGACACAATGGTTGGACTCATAACGGTCAGAGATAACGACTCTGATAAAAACGGTGTTGTTCAAGTTAAAATAGTTGATCCTGTGCCGTTTAAAATTAAGAACACTTACAAGAATCATTATTCGTTGGTCGTAGACGGAACTCTAGACAGAGAACGAGCTTCCCTATACAATGTTACAATAGTAGCGAGTGACGAGGGAGTCCCACCTCTTTCCAGTACAAGTGTTATTACAGTCCACGTTTCTGATGTCAACGACAACGCACCTCGTTTTAAAGAACCTGTCATAAACATTTTCGTCAAAGAGAACAGTCCTGTAGGCGTCATCTATACCATGACTGCAGATGATCCTGATGTGGACGAAAATGCAAAAGTAACGTTTTCTGTAATGAATAATAAAAACAACAAAAACAATGTAATAGGGTCAGTTATAAACGTCAACTCAGAGACAGGAGATATAATCAGTCTGCAATCGTTTAACTTCGAGGAGTTAAAAACGTTTCAGTTTAAAGTTCAGGCCACAGACTCTGGTGTTCCTCCGCTCAGCAGCAACGTGACTGTGAACGTTTTTATCCTGGATGAGAATGACAACAGTCCTGCGGTTCTTTCTCCATATTCTGAGCACGGCTCTGTTAACAGTGAGAGCATCCCCTATTCTGCTGAAGCGGGATACTTTGTGGCAAAGATCAGGGCTGTAGACGCAGACTCTGGATACAACGCGCTGCTTTCTTATCACCTCTCTGAGCCAAAAGGAAACAACCTCTTCCGGATCGGAACCAGCACCGGGGAAATCAGGACTAAGAGGAGAATGAGTGACAATGACCTGAAAACTCACCCCTTGGTGGTGCTGGTTTCTGATAACGGAGAACCCTCCCTGTCAGCTACTGTGTCTATAGATGTGGTGGTGGTTGAGAGCACAGCTGACATCCAGACTCAGTTCAGACATGTGCCCACAAAGGACGATGGCTTCTCTGATTTAAACCTGTATCTGCTGATCGGCATCGTGTCGGTGTCAGTCATCTTTCTGCTGAGCCTCATCACTTTAATTGCTGTCAAATGCCACAGGACAGACAGCAGTTTCAGCAGGTACAGCGCCCCAATGATCACCACCCACCCTGACGGGAGCTGGTCTTACTCTAAAGCTACTCAGCAGTATGACGTCTGCTTCAGCTCAGACACGCTCAAGAGTGACGTAGTGGTTTTCCCCGGACCGTTTCCGCCTGTAGATGCGGAGCTGATCAGTATTAATGAAGGAGACACTTACAACAGGACTCAGACTTTACCGAACAAAGAAAAGGTGAGTTGAGTCTCCCGGTAAAACTTTACCATTACCTAATTAATAAGGTACATTTCCTCCGAAATGACACACACAACTTGTTAAGACTGCTTCAGCTCTGATTATTTGTGGAAGAAGTTCTTTGGTTTTGTTTCCCCGTCTGCTCAGGCAGTGAGCGCTATCCATGGTGCTGAAATCACGGGGGACTGTCTCTGCTTCTTTGTCAGAGAGCACAACCGGAGAGAGAAGTGTACTCCCAAATCCTCACTTAACGTCAAATGTCAATAAAGTTAAATAGTCATCAAAAATAAAGTATTTAGTTAAAATACAACTTGTGAGTTGCAAAATGTAACTGCCAAGCACATGCCTCTTCACTCTACAGGTGTCATAGATAACAACTTATGATTAGGTGCTTAATATCACTGCCTTAAAAATATAACCTGAATATTTAGCTGAATAATGATCGGAACAAACAGGGCTGTTTACAGCTACAGCACAAAAGCGGCTGCCTTAAGGGGCAACACCATGCACCCTATCAGCTCAGTGTCAGCACAGTGTTTTGAAGTCAGTGTGATGTGGAAATATATGAACCATCATTATCTCGATCCCCGGTAAAGGAAATGTGTGAGCCGTACTGCAGACGCATAAATCATAACAATGTTGTTGCAAAGCAGAAAACGTCGTCACACAAACAAACTTCGATGGCGTGCTGGACTTTACCAGCGTATGCATGTGGTCCATTGCAAGCTAACAGTTGGTTTAGAGCCGTTCGCTTAAGATAATTAAATGAGTTACTCACGGTTAGAGGACTTGAAAGGTGGTGTGGGTTGTAGGTTGTTCCAGTGGTTGTTGAAGCTGTTGTTGAAGCAGTAATGGGAGGACAGCAGTAGTTTTTGGATAACATGGACTCACAGCAGTTCCAGTGGATTCACATGGCGACCCAGCCATTGCGAAAAGGGTCCGGGAAGTTGTACAGTGTTTAACCTGTAGTGTAGCCTATTTCCCAAACGTCCGTCCTGTGTGGCTCCAAACACACTCCTTCCCGGTTGTGATAACTTAACATGTGACTTAGCTGCGAGCAGAGGCTGCTTGAAACAATATGTATTCCGTGGTAAGTGTGTCTCCTTTACAACGTCCTGCAGGTGTTTATGTTTGTTTGAGCGCGGAGGTCTTCCTGACTGTCACCGCGCCATTTTTAAAATCCAAAATTCGCGCACTCTCGGCTGCTTCTTCTTCTACTACTTTTTTCCGGCAGACTGTGCGCAGTTTGGCGCGTTGCTGCCTCCCGCTGTTCCAAACTCGACACGACTCCATTGCGCATGTTCTTCTTCTCTCCAGCGGCAGCACTAACCGAGCTCAGTGCTGCCTCTAGAGGGGGAAAAGGTTTGGACTCCACACGGGTTGTGTTGCCTGACGTGAAAAAATACCGCTGTCCACGTGAGTCCACGTTATTTCACGAGCTGCTTACATCGACTTCCGGCCACAGTGAGTCACCAGTTGGAGTATTTTACAAACCCTGTCGCCTTCATGTGGATGACGTCATGGCTCCGCAGCGAGGCAGGTGTAAACACAACCACAGCTAAGCTAATGTCTCCAGTGTCTTCCTGAGCTTTGTGAAACCAGTAATGTACCAGAGGCTGAAGTTGGATTGCACCTGAGAGGTGATTATTGATGGCTGTTATATCTCTTGGGTAGGGCATTGTTTTTATTCACATTAGTTTACATGTGTAGCCTTCACATTTAGACATTATTCTGGTTGCTCTGGTAAGTTAGACTATTTTGTTCAACAGAGTAGGTCATCGCCTCTAATTTCATAGAGCAAAACATGTGATAAAAGAAACTAGAAATGGAGTATATATTCAATATGTACAGGTTATTTATGTGTGTGTGTACCTGCCGATTGAACTTTTCTTTATATTTTGTTCAGAAGTTGTGTTAAAGGTCTTGTACACAGATTGTGGTTGTTATTCTGTTAAGGGCTGCAAGCCTTTGACAAAATGAACATTTCACCCTGAATGTGCAGAATGGTGGAGATCACGGCTTTGTCTGCTGAAGTGGTGCTGCAGAAAGTCTGAGACCACAACAAACAGACGGTTATCATTCTAACGCTGACAGCTTTAGATGGAGGTAAACCTCTGAAATCAGGCATGTTGCATGTCCCTGTTAGTGATAGTGATGTGGCTGGTCAGGTCTTAGCTCAGGTTGAACTTACATTCTTGTGCTGGGAATTATGAGAGGTCGCATACCTCAGTGCATTTTCACAGCACACAACTTTACTCATCGTAGCAGGAAAAATACAAATGTAAGTCTGCATCAATGATCTCCCTGTTTTATTTAAGTGCCCCTGTAGACTGTATCAGTAACAGTAGCACACTGAACCTGGTGAGCTAAACAGAATTTAGTGCTCACTTATTTTGTTATCTTCCTCCAGGCTTTTTGATTGTGACGTGTCTAATATCGCCTGTGAAAGAGTCATGATATCGACTTTGGTGGAATTTGTCCCACCTGTACTCTTACAAGAGGAATATGAGGGACATGTCTTCGATGCACATTTCACTCTCATGACAGGAATTCAAATATGGGCTAAATAATGTAGAACACTTGTGTGGGTGGTATTGTAGGTTTGTAGGTCATTTAATTCTCTCAGTATTTGTCCCATAAGCGTTTTAGCCTTTAGAGGTCCCCTTCTCTAATCTGAAATATTATTTTCTTTCTCTCTTTAACACTGCACTGCTTCTATTTGTTTCAGTCCATTCTGTTTCCTGAGATATGACCATGAGCATCTCTGGATTCACATGTTGTCCTTTCTGATATTAGCAATCACAGCTTTTAGTCCCCTATAGTTTTCGTAGGCTAGTATTTAACTAGTATTTTTTAATCAAATTGGTCTGCTTATGTTTTCAATGCATATTCATATTTTAGCTGATGGCATTGCACTCCAAGACCCCATTGTATTATGAAACATGGTTATACCTTTGTAGTGCAGTGTGTGACAGTGTATTTTGATTTACAGTATAGTAAAGGCTCTCTTTTTGCCAGTAATACAAAATAAAATGTTTTTTTTGTTGCTCTAAATACAGAATTTCTTTCCATATAAATTTAAACATTAGCTATTTATAACACACTCTCTTTCCCCAAATTCTGTGTTGTGCAATTAGATCTGTTACTTGTTAATCCTGGTCTATTTTCCCTTTGCCTGCCTGCTCCATGTCCCAATTTCTATTGCTCTGCAGTGACAGAACATACACGATATTATGCATCTCACGTCGGCTCCTTTTTCTCTCCCTCCTCCTCTATGCTGTCAGACCTTTCTCTCGTTCCCCTCCCCCTCTCCTTCAGCAGCAGCACTCTGAGAAGGGGAGCAGCTGAGAGAAATAACAGGGAATTAACGTCCATCTCTGCAGACGTGTGCACATCGGCCTCAGATCGCTGTAAACACGATCCAATATATTTTTCATTAACGTCCCTAATGTGCGTACAGAGCAGAGGCGACCCTGATCCGCTCGTACAACAAGCACATCGCGTTGAATTCGTCAGTGGATAAATCGAGCTCTTACGCGCGTTCCCGTGCCATTTACACATACTCGTGATGGTTATCATGGCTCCTAACTGGTGGAACATGTGATGATATTCTCGGAGAGGCTCATTGTGCATTGTGTTGCTGTGGATCTATGATGCTTTTGAGTCACTCAGACGAGATGACCTCATTTCAGGGAGTGGTCGAGGGCAAACCAGCATGGCCTGATCTGTCAAAACTCAGTTCGTTTGATTGGTTCAGTGCGTACAAGGGCTCTGTGCGCTCTCACACAGACTGCGCATGTTGCAAAGCGATGCGAATGGGCTGTGTGAAGCTTAGAAGTGGGTCAGCGTGTGATTTAAAGATGGCAGCGCTCTTCGTGCGCCATCTGACTGAAACCTGTGCTTCAGTAGCCGCTGAGCTCCCTTAAAAAAATGCTCACAGGCTCTACAGCACTGCATGAAACAATGCCCGGAGCGGTCTCTCTGCGTAAAAGTGGTCCAGTAGCCTATGTGTTATGTATTGCTGCAGCAGCTTTCTGTGGATGTGACTGAGGGGGAGGGGCAGGTAATTTTCCGCTACTCGCTGCAGCAGCAGCAGCAGCAGCAGCAGCAGGGAGCTTCAGGACCGAGGTATCAGCTCGGCTCGGCTCAGCTCTCCCTCCTGCTCCGCTCTGCGGCTGGGCGGGGCCGACAACACCTAGTGTCAGTCACAGCTGAACCGGTTGGGCGGGGCAAAGGGCTGTGATGGATGAGGAGAAGCTTGTATCTGTGCCACCGTCATAAGAACATCGTGTTTCTGTGTGAATGTGTTTAACCTCCGGATATACATGGGTGTATTATATGGCCATAATAATAATAATAATATGAGCATTCAAGATCTAATGAGACCGAATAGTGGCAACATGGATAGAATGATATGGTTTAGAGTTTGTTTCTGTTAAAAGCTTCTATCCACCCCCCCTTCCCCAAGTGCTGCAACATGCATTCAATTATTGATCCCACTACATTACCCTGGTGGAGGCACACAGCTAAGTGGTTCAGTTCATAGATTGCAGATCCTTGTGATGGAGCACACTGTTGGGTTTAACAGATGGACCCATATTTAATGTAGAAATGCCCTTGCCTCATCAGTTCTAATACAAAGAGACATAACAGCAGCATGTTTAACCCAAAACATGAAAGCATTCCTGATCTCTGTCTATCTGTCTGTCACACACATGTCTTGTGTAGGCTACTTCCTGTTTTTCTCCTTTACAAGGGTGTGTCCTTTGTGCTGGTGAGGTAAGCTCTGCTATCTGTGGTTACCATGGAGACTGCTCTGAGCCATAGTGAAATGATGAACTAGTCTGTTTCCAGGGAGCTGCCAGTATGTAACCCGCCCCCCACTCAGACATCCACCCCAGCATGTGTCATCAACACAAGCAGGAAGGAAGCAGGGTGGACACAGTAGGAGGCAGGGGAGATGGAGAAAAGGAGAGGCAGAGAGAAAGAGAAAGATGCGGACGTACAGC